GGTTTTAATAAATCGTGTCTCTGTGACGATATTTGTCGTATATTTGCAAATACCTGGTTTCAACATATTAGAGGAACAACAAAAAAATTATTTTCATTGCAGAGACATGTATTCGGATTCAACACAACGAGTGAACATTTTTTAGCTGATAAAAGTCAATGGCAAGAGGAAATAGTGGAATGACGGAAAAGAATGTTACCTGGATAGAACAGAGAGAGAGAGAGAGAGACTGCGAGCTGTGCAATGGCGAACGGCTAGAGCTCGTTTGCCCTTTCGGCTACTCTTCCGCCGCTCGCCGTCGATTGAGAGAGAGAGGGGGGTAAGATGAGATTAGAGATTTTTGGGTTTGAGATTGGGGATTTTTTTTTGGGGGGTTGGGGGGGTTGATGAGCGGGAATGGGGAAAAAAAAAAGTGGGGAAGGGAGCGGGAATGGAAAATAAAAAGGGGCGGGAATGAAAATAATTTTTTTTTTTAGAAATAAAATTTAAATAACAAAATAATGTTGTTTAACTTCTTCTTCTTCTTTTTTTGCGACGGGGGTTATCGTCGTCAAAAAAAATTATTTTTGTTAAAAATATATATATTTTTGTAGTTAATGAATTTGTTTTTAAAAAATTCTTTTTTTTTAGTTACTAAGATTGAAAATTTATTTGTTTCATTTTTATTTCAATGAAAAAAAATATTATTATCTTTTATTTGGTAGAAGTAGGGGTAATATTTTAATGAAAAATATTTTTCACTAAAATAAAAGTTAATTTTCTGTGGTCAATGAAAAATGTTTTTCTACGGTCCATTTTTTTTATTATTAAAAATCATGAACTAATTTTTTGTGGTAGAGGAGAGGAAGTGGCAGTAGTGGTGAAGGTGGTGGATAAAAGATGATGGTGGTGGTAATGGCGGCGGCGAAGGAGATTAGTGGTGAAGTTGTGGTAGTGGTAGAGTAGATGAAGTGCAAGGGTGAAGGAGATGTAATGGTAGTAGTAGTGGTAAAGGTGGTGGATAAGAGATGATGGTGGTGGTGGTGGTCGTGGTGGTGGTGGTAGTGGTGGCGGTGGCGGTGGCGAAGGAGATTAGTGGTGAAGTTGTGGTAGTGGTAGAGTAGATGAAGTGGCAATGGTGAAAGAGAGGTAATGGTAGTAGTAGTGGTAGTAGTGGTAGTGGTGGCAATGGTAGTAGTAATGGTAGTCGTAGAGGTGAAGTGGCGACAGTGGTAGTAATGGTGGTAGTGGAACAGTGTTTGCAGTAGTGGTGAATATGGTAAAGGAGATGGGTGGTGAGAGAGAGAGAGAGATGAGTGAGAGATAGATAGAGGATAGAGAGACAGATAGAGGATAGAGAGAGAGAGAGAGAGACAGACAGAGTGGTCGCTAAAAGTGCATTTTCTTGTAGTGGATAGATAAATCGAGAGGGAGCTTAGTAAATAGAGAAGACGGAAGGGAGAGAGTGAGCAACGCGAACACAGTAGGAGAGAGATAGAGAGAGAGAGAGAGATAGAGGGGGGAGACAAAGATAAAGAGATAGAGAGTGAGAGACAGAGAAAGAAGAGAGATGAACGAGAGAGACAGAGAGAGAGATAGAGAGAAGAGAGATGAGCAAGAGAGACATAGAGAGAAGAGAGATGAATGAGAGAGACAGAGAGAGAGATAGAGAGAACAGAGTTGAGCGAGAGAGATGAGAGATAGAGAGAAAAGAGATGAGCGAAAGAGACAGGGAGAGAAAAGAGATGAGAGAAGAGATAGATGAGTGAGAGAATAGATGAGTGAGAGACAGAGAGAGAGACAGATAGACAGAAAGAAAAGAGTGATGAGTAAGAGCGAGAATGAGAAGAGAGAGAGGAAGATGAAAAAATTGGTGAAAAGATATAGACAAAGAGAGATAGAGAGAAAAAAAGAACGAAAAGAGATAAACGAGAGAGAGACAGAGAGAGATGAGTAAGAGAGATATAGAGAAGAGAGATGGGAGAGATAGACAGAAGAGAGATGAACGAGAGACACAGAGAGAAAGAGAGAGAGAGAGAGACAGACAGACAGACAGAGAAGAGTGATGAGTGAGAGAGAGAAAAATAAGAGAGACAGACACAGAGAGAAAGAGAGAGACAGACAAACAGAGAAGAGTGATGAGTGAGAAAGAGAAAAATAAGAGAGACAGAGACATAGAAAGAAAGAGAGAGACAGAGAAGAGTGATGAGTGAGAGAGAGAAAAATAAGAGAGACAGACACAGACAGAAAGAGAGTGACAGACAGACAAAGAAAAGTGATGAGTGAGAGAGAGAAAAATAAGAGAGACAGAGACACAGAGAGAAAGAGAGAGACAGACAGACAGAGAAGAGTGATGAGTGAGAGAGAGAGAAGAGAGACGGAGACAGAGAAATAGGAAGATGAAAAAATAGGTGAAAAAGTTTCGTGTCTAAAGCCTCCTTTTGTAGTCGTGAGTCGTCTCTATCATTCACGGGTAGAATAGAGGCGTGGATTTGGGAATTGTATATTTTATATAAAAATCAAATTGAAATATTTTATACAATCACACCTATTTAGCGCTGGTCGGGTGGTGGTGGTGGGTGGCTGGTGGTGGCGGGTGGTGGATGGTGGTGGTAGATGGGTACTGAGTGATGGTAGCGGGTAGGTGCCGGACAGTGGATGGTTGTGGCGGGTGGCGGGTAGATGGTAGGTGGGTGGTGGTGGCGAGTGGGTGGCAGGTGGGTGGTGGTGGCTGGCAGGTGGGTGTTGGTGGCGAGTGGTGGTGGCAGGTGGTGGGGGGATGGGTGGTGGTGGCGGAAGAAGGTGGTGGAAAATGGTGGCAGGTGGTGGGTAGTGTTGGGTGGTAAAAAAAAAAAAAACTCAAAACTCAAAACCTCAAAACGAAAACACATTTTTTGAGTTTTACATTTTTGGCCAAATTTTTATAAAACTGAGACCACTAGATTTTATAAATCAAAAAATTTACCAAACAAGTTTTTTCTGTTGAGTTTTTAAAATTTTTTGTAAATATAAAACAGAAAACTGAAAACGTAGTGTACCAAATGGCACGTTGCAACAGGCTTTAGATGGTAAAATGTTGTTAAAATTAACAATAATTAAATAGGTTACCAACGTAAGAATTGACTTATCAAAAGATTCTTAGGCCATATAGGGTTTGATTTTAGAAAAAAATTTTAAACTTAAAATTAATTTGGTTAAGAAATAAAAACTAAAATAATTATCATTTAAGGGTAAAAAATAAATATCATTTTAACTTTTTGGGCAGTTATATACATATGTATAGCTGTTTCATTTAATTTGTAAAAATTATTTCTAACCACTCGAAAGATAAAAAATTAATTTAAAATGATAATTATTTTTGATTTTTTATTTCTTAACCAAATTAATTTTTTAATTTTTAATTTTTTTTTAAAATTCAAACCATACATAGCCTAAGATCTTTTGAAAAGTCGTTTCTTATGTTAATACTTATTTTAAATTTATTTGTTTCATTTTTACGACATTTTACCATCCGAAGCATGATTTGGTAACTTCGATTTCGTTTTACAGTTTTCAATTTTTATTTACAAAAATTCTTAAAAACTTGTCATAAAACTGTATTTGATAACTTTTTTGATTTATTAAAAAGGTTGTCTCCGTTTGTAAATTTCAGGAAAAAAGGTAAATTCAAAAAATAAGTCTTATGTTGGTTTTTAAACAGAATCTTAAAAATTTTACTACAATTTTTTTTTCAAATTTAATTTTTTTCTAAATAATTTTTTTTCCAATGAATTCTTTTTTTCCCAATGAATTTTTTTTCCTAACTAATATAACGCGAGGGAGCAATTGGTAATGCTACCTTTAACCTTACGGGAGGGGATTGTAATTTCTAAAATGTAGCGGGTGTCATATGTAATTTACCCAGTAAGGGAAAATGTAGTATTTAGAAAAAATTAAAATTGCTAAGGGGGGAAAATTGTAATGAAACTTTAAACCTCAGGGAGGGCGATGTAAACTTTCAAAACGTGAAGGGAAGAACTGTAATAAAACATGAAACCTTAGGGGGTGTCAGTGTAATTTTACCCATATATATTATAATCATACTTAATTAGAAAGTGACATACAAATAAATATCTATCCCATCAATCAATATTAAGGTGATTAAAATCTTGGATTGTAACTTTTATATAAAAATCAAATTGAAATATTTTATACAATCACACCTATTTAGGAAGTGTGATTAAATATATATATATATATATATAATTACACTTATTTAAAAAGTGTGATTAAAATGTAATAATGTATAAATAATCACACTTTAATTAGAATGTGAATGTGTGATTAAAAAATATATATATAATCACACTTGTTTAAAAAGTGTGATTAAAAAGTAGAAGTGTATATATAATCACACTTTAATTAGAAAGTGTGATTAAAAAATATATAAATAATCACGCTTTAATTAGAATGTGTGATTAAAAAATATAAATATAATCACACTTGTTTAAAAAGTGTGATTAAAAAGTAGAAGTGTATATATAATCACACTTAATTGAAAAGTGACATAAAAAATAAATATTATCACACTCAATTAAATTAAGTGTGATTAAAATATCAATCTAATGTTTTTTATCACACTTCCAATAAAAGTGAGATCTTTTTTTTGTCAAAGTGTGATCTTTAACCATTTTTGTAGTAGTGGTTGTTCGTTTGTTGCGGTAGTCATTCTGATTGACAGAGATAGGTGTTGTGCATTTGCCCAGGTTTGTTGTCGTTATTGTGGAGTTGTTTGTTTTTGATATGTTCGTATAGTTTTGTGTATTAGTTGTTTGTGTGTTATTATGATATTTATTTGGTGGAAACCCACGAAGTTTATGTCTGGTGTTGGCATGGTGATGTGAACATTTACTTCCGATTTTTAATACATTGTTTGGTACAATGATGCTTGTAATCTATATAATGTTTTGCTTATAATTTTTGTACGGTTTGGTATGTTTACGTCTGCCGAAGGTTTATAATGTTATGTCGTTTGTTCCTAAATGGAGTGTGTCATTTTGCTGTTGTGTACATTTGGCCAGACAAATGCGGTTGCTCGTCTTCACCAAAATTCCACATTTGAACAGTTGGTTGATGGTGTTTGCGGCAAGTTTGATAGGTTGTTACCAGGGCTGGTGTTTTTCTTGTTCAACATTCCGGGGTGTAACAAGTTTAAGGTTGATTCTGATGACGATGTGAACAATATGTTTTCATTAGCGAAGTCATTCGGGTTGGAACATATTGACGTGCTTGTTCAAACAAGATGTTACAGGTCAGTCGTTGATGGCTGCGTCATAGATGCTCGTATTGATGAGGTTGGCGATAACAATGATAGTAATAATTCTGATATGGAAGAATGGACAGATTTGTTACCTTTGTCTTGTACTTATAAATCATGTCCGCGAGGTGGGCGTTTGGTGTTGCACATGTTGGACAATTTTTTGGTGGCGGGGGCTAATGAATTTCGGATGATATTATGCAAATATGTGGTCGAATGCGGGTTTCAATTTAAGTACATTAAAAATGATTCTATGCAAATCAAACCAGTGTGTAAGTTCGCAACGTCAACTACCTGTCCTTGTTTGGTTTACGCCCAGGTGTTCGCATCCAATGGGATTTTGTGTTTGAAGAGGTTTAACAACTTACATTTGTGTGGTGCTACTGTGAGGACGTACAGGAGCTTCCAGACTGGGTCAGATTTGGTGTCCGATGTCATTGCCGACCATGTGCACGAACAGCCACTTACCTGGCCAACGAACGTGGTGTTTGATATGAAAGACGGGTATGGATTGGACATTAGTTGTCGTGTAGCGTGGTTAGGGGTGGAAAAAGCACAATCGACAATTTATGGTGATCATGCAATGTCATATGACCAACTCAGGTGGTGTAATGACACCGTCATGGAAAACAACCCACACAATTTCATTAATATGGATTTCGAGCAAGAAACAGGGAGGTTCGTACGGTATTTTATAGCCTTTCGCGCATGCATGGATGGGTTCAAACATTGCCGTCCACTTTTATTCCTCAACGGGACGTATCTAAAAGGGAGGTTCAAAAGAACTTTGCTTGTAGCCACTGCCAAGGATGGCAACCAAGGTATGTGTGTTTTATGTTACATTGTTGTAGCACATGTGCACACTTCGACGTCACTGTTGAAGGTCAAAAACCAAGTCCTAATTTACACCGGTTTAGTAGTTTTTTCGAAATTTGTGGCCCCAAACGTAACATGTTCCCAATATGTTGTGTTAATGTTAATTCATAGGGTTATTCCCAATTGCCTTTACTGTTGTTGATGCTGAGAATGCATCTAATTGGGAGTGGTTTTTTGCGTCAATTGGCCGAAGTTATGGATGGTAGTAGGACGTTGACGTTTGTGTCTGATTGCAATGTCGATTTACTCCACGCGATGTCTACCGTCTTCTCGACGGCACACCACGTATTCTGTTTGTTACATTTTCAAATGAACCTGAGAGATCGTACGAAATATGTAAACGCTAAACAAAAACTCGGGCTTATGCGCAAGTTACGAGAATGTGCCTATGCACCCACTGTGGCTTCATTCAACCACAACATTGAGCTATTGAAACAATGTAACCCAACTGTTGTTGGTAATTTTTTGACAGATTTGCGTCCACAACATTAGCTAAATGCACATTTCAAGTAACGTTTCGTAACGACCCCTTGCACAAATTTTTTTATTGAATATTGTCTTCACACACCAACCGTATTTTTCTACATTTTGCCAAAGGCCGCAGGTACGGTGAGATGTGCTCCAATGCTGCCGAATCATTCAACAACTGGGTTCGGAAGGCTCGGCATCTATCCATTACTCAGTTAGTGGATGCGATTAGGGGCCAAATCATGGAGCAGAGGTTTAAACATAAAGTTAGATCCAGTGTTTGGGCCAGGGAGCTCTGCTCGAAGATGGCAAAGGTTTTGGAATTGGCGTACAATTATAATAAGTCGTGGATTGTTAGTCAGTCCGATAACAACATGTTTGAGGTCTGTTCACACCTATCGGTGTTGGTCAATTTTGGGACACGTACATGTTCATGTTTCCAGTGGAAATTAAATGGATTCCCATGCTCACATGCGATTGTAGCTTTCCAGAATAGTGGTAAGAACATATATGACTTCATTAATTCATTTTACCATGTGCACGAGTTCAGGGTGGCGTATTCCGGGGCTATTCACCCAGTGGGGAAACCAAATTTGGCAACAACGGATTACCTCATCGCATGACCTATTTATAAATGCCCACCTGGAAAGCCCAAACGAAAACAGATCCTGTCCAAAAGTGAGGTGGTTCAGCGGATTCAGTGCGGCCGTTACAGCAAAATGGGTCATCGTAATAGGAAAACATGCAACAAACCAATGTAGCATGGTGGACATGTATGGCGGTTCTACTTTGTTGCCAAACTATCTTAGCTAATTCACGTCCCTTTATTTTTCAGTTGCGTTCAAATTTATGTTCATGTTATTAAATCGTATGCGTTAATTCGCCATTACATTACATTTGCGTTATTTCCCAATTCGCAATGTCGACGCTATAAAATAAATATGGGTTTTCCATTTTATTTTTTATTTTTTTTTGTGTATCAGCTTATCATGTTCGCACCGTACAATTTTTCACATTCTTAACGTGAATGTTATCTATTTGTTTCTCGCACGACACTTGGTTTTACGTGTTGTGGCAAAATGTTTTACAACATTATGAAAACATCCACCGGACCAATGTACCGTGGTGGACATGTATGGTTGTTCTATTTCGCTGACAAATTATCATAGCTAATTCATATACCTTACTTTTCCGATTATTTGCACATTTGTGTACATATTATTACATCATATACGTTACTTCAAAGTTCCAATACTCTTGTTTTATTTCACAATTCGCATCGTTCACGCTATATACATAAATTTTTTCTCCCAAATGATTTTTGTTTGCCTATCAACTTACCATGTCCATACCTTACTAACTATTTTATTAAGTTTGCAATGTACTAATTGCATTTTCCGGTGCGAGTGTTGTGAGATTTAGTACATTTTTAAAATAAACCAACTTTGGGTTTCAACGCACATTCGACTTCTAATCACAAATTTAAGTCAATCAGACTGAATACTAGCATTGTTTTTTCCCAATACGGTATTAGGTGTGACACTAACGGATACTAACGCTTATCGTTCGGTGTTTTCTTGTTCACATTACCCTATGATGTGTTTAGCACACAATGCAGTGTTGGGTTGGATGTGAAATGTAGCAACTAAACTTCACTTTCCGTTGGGGCAAAATGCTTAACCAAATTAGGAAAACATGCAACGAAACCAATGTGTCGTGCTGGCTGTGTATGGCTATTCTACCCAAACAATATTCATACCATTCACCTAAGAATCTTGACACTGCGAATACGCAAACTGATATCATTTCATAACGACATTATACCTAATAATTAATAAAATGCCATTCCCAAGTATTGGCTGAACTTCAAAACACTATTCAAGCAAAACAACATATCTATCTACAAAACAGTACTAGCAAAAAATAATCTTAACCGTTCACCACTCAAAAAAATACCTAAACAAATCAACAACCAGACATCTGGTTACTATTACCATTCAAACATAAATCATAATAAACGTCACCATTAACACTAAAATACTGAGTCCTGGGTAGGGCCAAACACATTACTTGATCTGTGCACGCAACCCTCTTGTCAGGTCATTGATGAACGTCCTCATCATCATTGCATGCATTGCATTCGGGGTTAGTCCGTCCATCGAAGTGTCAACTTGAATGCCCTGAACATGTAGCCAAATGATGAAACAAACTATAATTGCACAGTCCGACCTGCACCACAAAACAATTGTCAACGTGCATAATTTAAGGCAATCCAACACAAGTCATATTAAACATCAAAATCAGTAAATCATAAATGCCATCCACAAATCTTACGTGTTCGAACCCTGCTACGGACAATCCAATGCTGCTACCAGCGGTCCATCAAAATTTCCATTTTTAGCTCTGTCATCTGCCATCCTCAGGCTGACAAACCTGTTGTGGTGGTCAACCACCCACTGTTTTACCAACATCACACCATAACCATTTAACAAATCAGTATGTACCATTCCTAACATAACGTTACCAACAACGCATAAAACATTACTGATCCAACACCAACAATATCCACGAAATAGACCACACCAAATAATTACAATACACACAACCTTAACTAACATTCAAATACTACTTACCACTTTTAACGCCTCATTATAATGTTCATCTCGCATGCCTCGTCTCTGTTTCAAAGAATTGTAATGCTTCCACGTTCCGGCCTCGATGTTGTGCACCATCACAGTCCAATGCTTCACAAGATATATTGGGTAATGTGTGTATCTGTGTCCTTTGGCAGCTTTGATGTGCACATTCAGATATTTTGTCCTCGAAATTGCACTAGGATTGCGCATCATGTCCTACAAACCATGCTAAAATGTGAGTTCAAATTACACACTTCAACTATGACTGGAGGTTGTCTAATGGGATGTGAGTATGTTACAGAGACAATTCGACATACCGAACATATGGTACTGTACACGTACAACATGTCCCGTGTCTTGCCTTTAACTGCCAACTCTTTTTGCATATCCATCATTACATAACCATACCCGTCGATCACTTGCACCATATCATTTATCATAAATAGTTAAGTTCACCATCAGAATCTATGACATCAAATGACCTACAACATCAACTTACTCAACTAACCCATAATGAAAAACTTTGATTCTAAAACAAACTTACGCTCCCGTGTATTGAACCCTATTTGACCAAATCTCGAATGTTTGTAAAAAGAACTTGGATTCCATTCTCCATACTGTAGACGTCCCCGAACGTCCCGGGAGGGAATCCCGTTTCGTTCATTTGGGCTCACTACAGTTCAGGACTCAAATGTCACGGTCCTGTATCTAATCTCGTAGAGTGCAATGCAAGACCGATGAATCATCAAAGAGTCCAAGTCTGGCAAATCATTTTTGGAAAACAGATTTTTTGTAAAGAAGTGCCAAACATGGACTGCTTTGCCAGATACAGAGTCGCCACCTAAATATTTTATTTTGGAAGAATTTAGGAAATCCTGACTCGTGCCTAAGGCCACGTGTCCGTCATCACCAAAGTTGCCTTGGCTCGGGAACTTGGGTACAATTGGGGAAGGTCACTTCGTGAGCACCCTCGCTCGCCCGATCAAAGATCGGCCTCTACTAACCATGATATCAGGTTTTGAAAACATATGTGCTCTTATTTCGGTTATTAGCTTAGATTTACTATGTGATGCACACAGCATACAAGTATAGACCAGATCGCCTGAATTGGAACAAAACATTTCATGTTTGTTTTTTAAAGCGGTTTGCTACTCGCAAGTAGGCTAAAATACAGATTTTGCCACCCTCGGGTGGGCTTAGAAAAGATGATTTGGCTACTATCTAGTGGGCTTAAAACTCACAGTCAATGCATTATTCCAATTCAGATAATTCAACCTTCACCCACAGGCATTCAGGCAGTTGTATCACATAAGCAAATAGCCTCATGGTAAGAATGCTATCATGACAGTCACTCACACACATGCAAGGATGCTAAAGCATAAAAGCTTACCTAGTACTCCGAGCCAAAACAAAAGCTAGTTAGTAATCAAATGTATGATCCTAGCTCATGTTAAGATGGCTAATGCAACGCATGCAAAATGCAACTAGAAATAGGCTCGGCTATTCTGAGATGGCATATGAAATGCAACAGATATCATGTATTCAACTTTGGAATGGAAAATACATTGCAGTTAGTATGATGCGTCGAGCCCGGTGCATGCAATACAGATGAATGATGCAAACATGTGAGCATAAGGATGCTAATTGAAATATGCCCTAGTACTAACCATCAAAAGCAGGTAAGTAAAAGGGAGAAAGAAGTAGAGGTTGGAAGACATGCATCACACACACACACGCTTATTACATGATTCGCTCTCTCTCGGAGGGACCAAAAGAATAATACAAATTAATTAACTAACAAGCTAATTAAATATTACACAACCACTTAACTAATTAAACAAAATTAATTAAGTTAAGAAAACAATAAAACAACTTCGGGAAGAAGGTTAAATGCACACATGCTCGACTTCGCTCGGAAATCCAACGCCATGCTCATGTTGCCTCTGTTTACACTGCCTTATGCCTCTGAAAATTGCAAAAGTCCCAAGGTGGGTTCTGGAACACTCCCTGAACATTGTGGGATGTCATCGACCAAGAGAAAACATCACCGGCCATAGGAAACTGGCCATCGACCAAAAGTATAGCTCTCGGCCAAAAATATG